AGTGGTCAGATGATGACGGCGACGTGACCAGATATAAATCTTGACTCGAGCTGGAGTGCACTTGATTCGCGGCCGTGGTCTCGCGGTCAGATCCTCCAGAGGGCTTGAGACAGTATGACTCAAGAGGAAATCCAAACGCGTCAGAAGTCAGAAAATCGTCCTTTCGAATATTCGGATTCTCCGGGAAAATTCCCGCGTTTTTTCGATCTGCGAGCAAACGTTCCCCTGATGTCTCCTTCCGAATGTTGTGTCGTTGTATCCCCATTCCTCCACGCGTAGGCTCACGACAGAGTCTCGCTTGGAGTTGATCCTAGGTGGTGAAGATTTCGATGAGCCGAACGATTCTCCTCGGCCGAAAATTATGTTAGCGTGCTGCTGTCAGGATGGATCCACTCGAAGCTGTCGAGAGCGGATCGGTCAGTGCACATTTTCTGCGGCGAGCAGCTCTGTCCTTGGCGCATAGATGTTCACAGCGTCTCTCGAAAGGTCGCTGCTGGAAATAAGGCGGCCGGCTCCTTTTTACGGGAATGAGGTTGTTATCCATACTCCTCCGACGAATGGCTGCAGAGATTCCCCGAGCCATGACTAAGCGGACTCCGGCCCACGCCTTGGGCTCCGCAGATCCCTCACCAGGAGTCCTGGGGACTGCTAAGAGAAATCCATTACGACGAGCGAAATTCCCTGCCCTGATTCATCACGAGACGAGTCCGTGATGTATCACGTATCCCTAGATCCTGTTGCTCATTTGAAATCCGATTCAGACAGAGCGCGACGAGACCGAGTAAGTGCACTACTTTCCATTCGGCATCCTATGGAATTGAATTCAAATCTCGCTAAGTGAGTAGAACATTGTACGAAGTTTGTCTCCATCGCAATGTCGGGAAGCGCTTCCCTTCGAATCGTCTCTGAATCGACTCCTGGAATAGAAGTCAGAGTGCTCTTATCTGTTTCGTCCAGAACGGGTGAGACTGCTGAAGCGGTGCCGAAGCACATCGGTTCGCGCGGAGCTCTTTGGAAATACCCATGACCGAAAAATCGAGGATTGGGCCTTTATTCGTTATCATGCTCATTCCTTAGATCCTTATGTCTGAATCTGATATCCAGGAGGATGACATTCTTCGAAGCGATAGAGGGTGAAAGCCTCATCCCTTACGTAGGCGGGAAAGATCCTTACCCCGCGCCTGTTTAAATTCAAAACCCGGGTGGGGGCTCGAGAGAGAAGCGGAATATGGAGGAGAACTCGGCTTATCGCGGTAGGTTTTTGATCGATGGAACTAGACAAGTTCTTCCCGATGACCCGCGCTGCTCAATGAGAGGACTTGAGCCCATAAGGCTTCGAAAATCGGCAGATAGATCGCCAGATTCCGTCCGTCATCCGCTCATCGACTAAGCAGAATTATCGAAGGAGAAAGGTGACAAGTCGAGCCTCTGTACATCATGCATCATAGTTACGGGACTGATGTGAAAGAGGAAGACACTGAACATCCTTCAACCCTTGCGATTTGTAGTCGGGATTATGCACGCTCAACGAATGATGATGATCTAGAGCTCATAAACTAAAGGACGACCTTCCGAATCGACATCGATTGCTCTTTCCTCCTCTCCCTAACATCTGGGAGAGTTCCCATCAATCATCACTAGGGTCCTGAAATTCATATTTTTCGCATAATTGCATGTTTTGCATACTCTTGCATATTCTGCATATATTTCGCATATGCTGCAAATTCTGCACATTTTTCGCATATTCTGCATAAGTTGAGCATATTTTGAATATTTCGTGCATAACTCACGTGTTTTGTGCATAACTCGCATATTTCCTGCATAACTCGCATATATTCTACCTAATTCGAATTTTCCTGTCGATTTCGCATGGTCCTTGCTCCTCGCAAATTTTGCATGCTCGCCTCTCATTTCGCGTGATCTGTGCATTTACCCAGCTAGATCTCACAAGTAAGAGACGCCCGACGTTATAATCTCGGGTCCCGATGAGCGATTGAGTTGAAACACTAAAAGAGAGCTCGCCGGAGCAGCATATCCCAAAACCGACAACTCTACGAGAAAACTATGTTCCTGTCCTACATGAGCAAACGATGGAGAAGATGAGGAACCCGATCGGCGATTCCCCAATATGGGTTCTGTACATGAAACGACGGACTCTAGCGGCAGATATGTGGCGAACATCATCGTCGGCGGTTTGGGAGTGGACGGTCCAAACGAGGGTCACTTGTTGGCCTGCGAGACTCTGGAGGTGACGAACTCGACCACTATAGCTCAGTTCTTTTGCAAATCTTTGTCGATTCTGAGGCGAGGATAGATGTATCACGACCAGAGCTGTGCGCCGCGCCCGATCGCCGGGGATCGCCGCCGCCGAGCTCTAACATAACGGCGCGCCGTCATGATCCCCATGGTAAATAGTCGAGAGCCCTTTTGAAAGATTTCGGAAGACTTTCGGAGCGAATCGAGGGAATACAGAAGAAAATGCTCATCAAAGTCAAAGAAAGAGAACCTGGGCCGACCTCGATGCGCTCTCTCGATGATGAGAATCGTAGACGACACCTTATCTCATCCGAGAATCGAGACGATTCATAAGTTTTTCTGTCGACCGACGCCGCACATCAAGGGACGAAATAGGAAGGACGAGCCTGCATCTCCCTTGCCGTCCTGTCTTTTCATACACGGCAATCGAGAGTTCTTGCGGGATAAGTCCCTCAAGTCCCTCAATAAATGAACCTAATTCGTGCTCGCTCTTCGGTTCCTTTCGCCACTCCGAAGCTTACTCCCTCTTTGGTGCCCTAGCTCACTCCTATGGATCTACTTTCTCCATGAAGCTCGCCCCGGATAAGAGAGAACCGCGGCGCGCCATGAGTCTCAAGTCCGCTGAAAAACACAGTCGCGTCCGTCGCCGCAAAAAGTCAGATGGCGCACAGCACTGATCACGACCGAGTCTTCATATTCAGAAAGCGGCAAAAACACTGCGAGGACCCTTTCCCCGAGTGTGCCGCGTGACGTGCGTAGCGTATAGAATTCATCGGATCACCGAACAAATAAGGATCGTGTTCCCCGATGTGGACCACGTGAATGCGGACATCGAGAAAATCTTCCTCGAGACGCCCTCCCGAGTTGCCGTTTTCAGACAGGTAACGCAGATACCGCTTCCACCGGCTCCTGTAATCATTCGACGGGGAACTTGGATGAAAGCTGCAGGGTATCTTGCGGAACACTTCGATACGCTCCGGAACTTCGAGGGAGCTCATCTCGATCCCACCGTAGCTGCTGCTATCGAGAGCCACGGAGTTGTTCGCAAAAGATTCACTGCCAGCTGACCTTTCCGTGATTCGCACTACACTCCACATGGTGCCGAGAATTTTGACGGAAGTCGAGGCAGGCGGATTGCCCTTGACGCGATGAATATTGTCTCAAATTTCGAGACCGAAATGAATGGGCTGAGTTCTCGTTCGGAAGGTATTCGTGCGTTATTTCTGCGTTGGTATTCTTCCTCATGGAGCTATCTATGAGCTAGGAGTCTACCATCTCCTCATCAAATAGGGCGATTTTTCGGAAGAGGATGTCCGGATCATTACCGAGTATCATTCCGACGATTGTAAACATCGGTCGCTACAGACAGCAGAGCAGTCTCACCGGACTCACTCTTCGGCTCAACCTTCCCGAAAAAGGGATGCGGTGAGCTTTGAGTCCAGCACCTACTCGCTCAGCGAAGACAACCCCAGAACGATTCAATCAATCAAGTCGAGAGTAGGCTTCTCCCCTCTTCTAAGGGTCAATGCAACATTCAAATGGCTTGGGCGCATGCGTTCCGATTGTGGGACTCAGAATCACGCAGTCTCCAAGAGGACGAAGACTCTTCATCTTTATACTGTATCTGTATTCGGGCAATGCCCAGGCATGAATTAACAACGAACACGGTATTCGGAACCACGAGCTGCGATTTCGCGTTTCGCTGTGTCATCAGAGAACCTGAGCTAGTGTTCGCTCAAGTTTCTCCGCAGAACCTGTCATCGGGCTAGCCAAGCTCAACACCCAATATGTACATATCCAAACTGTACTGGTTTCACGAAAAGATGAGCGAGCCCAGGCGCGCGAAATATTGCAGGAATTCACACGGCACGGAAAGTATGCGAAATACTCACAAATTCCACAGAAAAATTAACAAGTCTGATTTCGCGAAATAGGGCAAATATCCGTGCAGTACGGGGCATATTCGGGCAGAAGTTCCATCGAAGGATTTCTTGGAGTTATGGAAGAGCGGGAGGAGCCATCTCAATTGAGGAACCCATCGAGCCTCACCCAGACCCAACTCGATGGTCCACAAGCAGAGCAACTTGCCGACCGATGCCCAGCTCGAGCCTGGGTCCGATTTCCATGCCCCCGAAACTTCTCCCTCCGTTGGTCAACCTCATGGCTGTGTAGCCATAAGCATCCTCGAATGCAGCCGCACCCATAGGCCATGCGAAGTCTCCGTTCCAGTGCGAGGGAGAGAGAAGAAAGCGTGTCCTGTCAAGGACTCTCATCAACAGGGGAACGTCCAGGAAGACGGCGATTACGACTGGTATCATTCCATACTAGCTCGAAGGATACGACTCCTTCATTGATTCAACCAGCAGAAACGAACGAGAAACCTCACCCGTACCACCGCTGCGACTAATTTTGAAGAACGACAGTATTCGACTCCGTCATAGACTTTCAGGAACGGCATCTCCTTGGGATCTCTCACTGAAACTCGCAGTTTCCACTCGATGTGTCATCCCTGGGGTAGGCGAAAGCTCGCTCGGGACGCGGAGCTGTGAAGCTCAGGCTACCGAATCAGATCTCTGAGATATTCCTTCTGAATAATGTCTCGATGGAGGATCTTCTTCGGCTGATGACTTCTGAATTAGCTTCTGAAAAATTCGTTATACGAGCGCGGTACCCATTTCTCGGTGTAAACGAGCGTGGCCTTACGCGCATGCGCACTAACTCTAAGTGTCCGATCAGCTGTTCAAGAGCCGAGATCATGCGTTGCGAGTACTCGCGACTCTTTCCTTTCCCTTACTGCCGTCTCCGTCTGGAGAATTCTGTATTTCAAATGCTTGACAATTGACTTACCCGATCCGCCAGCGAAAAGCATGGCGTTTTGGGATAAGGACAAACTTCTCGAGGCCGGCCTGATCTGTATGGGGAAATGTCTCCTAATGATGTGTACCCTTGGAATCGCGCCTTTCTACCCGACCGAGGTTAGTTCTGAGTTCTGATCGATGTGCTGCGAACCCTGGACAGTTTCAACGGGCATCTCACGCCGAACTCTGCAGAACGTAGCCTTCGCTGCCTACACGGAAAGCCCTCTCGCCTCTCAAGAACGTCACGGTCGACTCGGGATCAACTGAGATCGAAGTTGCTTGTGAAACTAAAGAAAACATGGAGCGTCAAGGGCCGGTCGCAACGCATAAGAAAATCGGCCTCACACTCGTGACAGGCGTAAATGATGTCATGTCCATGACCTTGCTCAAGACGATCGAGCGACACTACCTGGAAAATAGTTTTCCAATATGGTCGGAGGCTGCTTTCGGTGTCTTGTGTGACTGTCCACAAGTCGACTTCCATGAGTTCCGTGATCTCCCTGGTCTCACGATAAGTACTCGACGGGGATTCGGGTTCCCGTATAGAATCCTTCCTCGCTACGTACTGTTTGTCTCACTGATTCACGCGGATCTGCCGAATGAGCTCCCGGCAACTTCGATCTTTCCTGGGTGAAAATTTTCATTCCCAAAGTTTCACGGATACATTAATTTGGATTCGTGGCCATCCGGGTGGTGTGTGCCTGACAGAGATCGTGCGTGAAACCTGCTGACAGCTCACCTGACGGTTCGCCATTATCGCGCTCCTTGAGAAGCCGCATCTTTCCCATCCTTATCGATTGTCGAAACCTTTTCCTAGGATTTCTGTTCGGTTTTTACGAGTGATCTTGGATCGCAGGTAGCGTGCAAAAACACTCTGTATCTGAAATAAATTCTCTCCTCTCGGAGGACGCCCGTTCGCCACCCGTGGTCGATATGGTCGCCAAGTCTCTTCTACCAAGCTGACCGGATTCCCTGGTGACCCATGGTTCACATATGTATACTAAGCTCTGGTCGCTATAGTAAACCATCTGTGATCGGGAACGATGTGCATCGCGCAAGGGGAAATCTTCTGGCGTGGTTGGAGGGCTCTCCAAGGCCAAGTTGCCACAAAACTTATCGAGAACCCGCAAGGCGGTAGTGTGGGGAACTTTGACTTACGCTGTCCCCCGGGAGAACGTCACTCCGCCGATCTGATACCGCACACACCTCCTCATAGAGCACTCCCACGCAGTCCAGCGGCATGAATATATATCGCGAGCGATACCGAATCCTTCCTATGGTTTTCACTTCTGGGGAGATTAGCTTTGAGGGAATCTTCCATCATTCTCCCTTCAATCAGTCGTACTCTTGACTTCAAGAAATTCCTTCGCGGGAGCTCCGGAGCCCTGCCTCTTCATGGCTCAACTGTTACAAGGATCACTTCAGATGCGAACTCAGGCTAGACAGGTCTTTCTAAGAGGAGCTCCGTCGATGCGACGTGTTTCTTGCAAAATTCCTGACATGGCGTGTCTTTCGGATAATAGGACGTCAAGTTGGTGCCGCGCCTTTTGATTACATATTCCTTTTGATTTCTCATTGTGATGTCCCGTAAGTACTCGCTGTGTTGTGCTTTTCGTTGGGGGTAGCTGCTGTGTTCGATGACCGGAACGGATCAAGATTCGAGTCGAGAAGGAGCTCAACCGATCAAATCAAACGGAAAAGGTTCGGCGTCACCGAAGAGGAACACGGAAGAGGGAACGGTTTCCGAGCGAACATGACTTCGGGACTCCGCCCATCTGTACCATGCCCGCCTCGCGGAGTGCGCTAGCGTCAAGCTGAATGGCCAACTGAGGAGCGAGAGCAATTGAAAATATGAGGAAGGGATGAGATCTTGGACCCAGTGTCAGTGAAATCAGTCGATCCCGTCGCGCCTTGAATACTGTGCGGAAACCACCCCTACTGGGCTCGAATTCTATATCCGCTCCAAAGAGCGGTCCCATTCCGCCGGGGATGTGGAAGTTCCGGGCTTTTCCGGCACGAGCGTGACTTGCGCATGAATGATCTCGCTTCTCCGTCATATTCCGCTGCAAGCGCGAGCTCATACCTTCCGCTGCCGAAACTTCGCCGGAACTCCAGAGCAGGTTCTGCGACATCATTCCGTGCTCAAAGGCAGCGAAATCAAGAATCGCTACGGACGGCTGTCGATGGTCGATGGTATGCGAGCAACTCAAGCCAGCCTTTCCGGCGAGCTGCTGAAGGAAGAGAGGCTCTTCCCGGACACTTCATCCAGGCCGCGTACCCGTTGATTTGCGTGGCATAAATTAGTCGGATGATGCAGAAAGGGGAGACGGAGGGCCAGGGAAGGTTGGCTCGATCGGAGGGAGCTCCCTTCATCTATGTTTTCTTCACTTCGATTGATCGGTTCCAACCCCAGGGAGTAGCGACGGAGTGAGCCAAGAATAATTATGGGTATTCCGCTGCGCGAGGAGCGACACTCAGCGACTCTAATTCGATCAGAATCCTCTCTCCGCTCGAGGGAATTTGTTCCGCGAACAACGATTCTGCTAACCGCGAGGAAATTCGGGGAGACTCGCGATTGCAGTACAGTTGAAATTCCCGGCGTCGCATATCGCTTGATCACCTCTAAATCATATTTGTATAACGGATTTTACCCCATTCCAGGCCGCTTCGCGCGGTTGCAGCCCCGTACAGATTGGCCTCGTCTTCGCAAGTCTCCCCTTCATCGGCTTCTTCTTCAGCCCCTACATCGGTAAAAAGGTTCGTCCCTCCATTCTTGCGACGATAATTGAAATTTTATCCCGGCCTCCACTCGGAGCCTCGCCGTCATGTGACCGTCTCCGACCCTCGCGGTGCGATGTCGTTGCATGCATCGGCGGTCTTCTCGCATTCTCGCTGCGGCTAGCGCACATGCGAGGCTAAATCGAGATACCTAGGGGGAAGATCATTCAGATTTCGAGGCAAGAATACGTTCTCGTCGCAAGCCCCCCTACGTGACGGTGGAAAGATCGTCAACTTAGAGGCTTCGATCCATGAGGAGCTCTGACTCGCGAGGCAGGGCGATAATATTGCCTGTGAACCTCATCGAGTCGCGATATGCAACGCTTCAGATTATTCGCTCCGGGGGAAATATGAATTTCATACGGTCGGAGGGTTCAGATGTTGAAAAATATGAACTAGGTCGTGACGTTCCAGATCAGCGATGGTATCTCTCCCAGAAGCGTTCTCGCGGGCGGATTGATAATCGAAGCTTTTTTCATGACAGCCTTCAGGTGAGCGAAACCTCAGTCGAGGTCGGCTCCGACGCCGGATGTTCCATTTAATTTCAGCCACTGAACGTACCTTTTTCGCCAGCTTTGTGAACATTTTGAAAAACGCGAACGAGTTCTTCGGAGCGAGTCTCGCCTTTCGCACATTGCAAGCCTTCGGAGTCACCTCATCGAGCGTGGCCTACAATGCTGTCGCATCTGAGATATTCAAGACGAGAATGGAGTTTTTCCTGGTCAGTGACGGAAGGTCCGAGGCTGTTTCGGAGAATGAGGGCTTCGAGGAGATCTCTCACGAGCTGCCATCCAACTCCCCCTTTGTTTCCAGCCTTTCCTCGAAATGTTCGCGGGCATTGGAACCATGGTTGGTCCGACAGTCGGGGGAGCTCTCTATCAGGTTTGTTCTTGGGGACATGTTATTGGTCATCGCGTAGCTTTTGCCCGCGTCAGAGAGAACTCGTGGAAGGCTCCCTGGGGACCCGAGTTCATTTTTCGAAAACATTCATTCTTCCTGCACAGAGAGCCTTTCTTAATCCGGGCTGCCTACGGAACACGCACGCACTGCGAGTGGGAAGCCCTCCCCCGTTGCCGTCGCGATGTGAAATCCTCTCCCGATTCGTCTCTGTCGCTTTTTCGTAAGTCTGCTCCATACGAAGAAAGGAGCGGACTTTCCCAGTCTCTATTCCGGCGCGCTCCGCTGCGACCTGCGGCTTCGAAATCGATTCGGGCTCCGTCAACCCACGGAAGGGTCGGGGCCGTCTTGCTCCTGCGCTCCGCAGGAATGGAGCCGGAAGGCCGAGCGGCGCGAGCGATTTTCAGAGCTCACATGGCCTTGACAGTAATCTATTCTCCTGATTTTTCGTAGGTTTGGGGGTTCAGCGCGCCGTACACGGCGTTCTGTATCATGATCATCGTTCTGACTTTGTGCTTATTCGGAGTGTTGCCACAACGCGCAGGTCCCACGCAAGCAGGAGAAGACAGCTCTGGTCAGTAGAGCGGCTAGGGCCAATATTTCTGCCTATGCGTCGGATGATGACAAGTCGCTGATGGCTCGAACTCATCGGCGAACCCCCAAGGGATCGAGCTGTATTCGCTCCCCCTCGGGAGGACATCGGCGTGTTGATGCATCCACAAACACTGCCGGCTAATGAACAATATCATGTTATCCAGGCAATCCCTCGAGGAGCACGAAAGGCTTCTACCAGATGATTTGTATCGAAATCGCATTCGATCTCTTAGTGCTCTTCTTCACGTTTGTGTCGATAGCCTTCAACGACTCAACTCTCGCGGTGAAGCTCTCCGACTACGATCTCGACTCTTTCCAAAAAGGACTCATCTTCCTCGTGTCAGCCTCCATGTATTCGTTGTCATCTCTGCTAGCGACGAGGATATCGCATATGTTCGTAAGTATGCTCTAGAAGTTTCTCAGCCAAGGAATCCAAAGTTTGAGTAGGACCTCATAGGCGAGGCGAAAGCCTCAGGATGAGGCTGAATGAAACGTCGCATTCGGAATAGATCGCACCTTGTTTTCAATCGTCGAGCGAGGTGATTCCTCCGACCCCACAATATTTCCCGATGCGATCCCCGAGCACAACGGAGCGATCGAAAGCCAGTCGGTCGCAGAGCGTAAGAGTTCCCGGAGTGTCTGAGGCGCGGCTGTACACATGTGCATACCCGAATCGAAGCGAAGACTCTCATCTGAATCGAGCTGTAATCTCGTAGAAGCTCCACCGCGACGAGCATGTGCATCGACAACTCACGAAGAGAGAAGTCGGGCATCCTGAACGACGAGCCGATGTTTGCGCGAAGTGACGACAAACATTCGATAAGAATACTCTGTTACTCTTCCCGATTGGGCCGTCGCCTCGATCGTCTGAAGCCAGGTTGGAACCTCAACGAAATGTGTTTTTCGATCGGTCTACGAGAAGTCGAAAATAATCCCCGATCTCTCTTATGAAGCTGCCATCATGCCCGCTACTCATGAGTGAACTCCTCAAAAACTTCATTTTCTGAGCTTGATAAAATTCGAAATCATAGCGAAGGCGATATCTCTGCTCGATGGGCTCTGGGCAGCGGCTCGCGGAATCGAGAGAATAGGCATTCGTGAGAACTCTCGGGTCTCGGGGCCGCGCATGATTTATGTCCGAGATCAGCGGAAAAAGGGAGGGTCCGATGTACTCAGACCGAAAGCTACAATCTGCGTCTCGTTGTATAAATCGATGACATAACTCCTGCGAGGAGCGCGACTAATCTTTCGCCCTGGTGCCGCTTCAATCAGGGGCCACAGCTTTTGTCCAGCTAGGCTCCCTAAATCAAGTAATCCGCGCTTTGCATCCTCAAATTCTGTCTGGGATCGATTCGTACTCACGATTAGACTTTACTCTGGTGGGAACCGGTAATTTCGCCTGGCGGGACTCGTTTGAATCGAACCGATCACCCTAATGATGCGATAACAACTAAGGATGCATCGAAGCTTAGAAGGGGGGGGGCTAGTCATGAACTCCCTTACTGTTTTTTCGATTTGGGAATCTCTTTTTCTCCAATTGCTTTTCACCTCGGAGGTACTAGACTTTCGTCGATTCTTCGGGACAAAACGATAGAGAAGAAAAAGAGGATTGATGCGCAGCAGTCACTTTGGAGCTCAGATCTGAATGTCGTCCCGAATGGTCGACGAGTCGCTCGTGTCGTCTAGCGGAGAGAGATATCCCTTCTACGCATTATGCCTCATGATCTGATGAAGGATTCGTCCTTCAGTCGTTTTCTTCAGATTATTTCCTATTATTTCAGTGCGACCCGCGATTATGGTCTGTCTGTGGGCATGTGTTCATCGGATGTGGGTGGCTGATGATGTCCCCAAACCGTTTCATCCCAAATCCGTGAGTTTCTCGTTTTGGCTCATATAATACATCATTGAGGAAGATTCAGAACATGCAAAGAACCAGCTGCACGGATTATGAGCAGGTTCAGCGTTCATGTGGACCCAAAGGAAAAGAGCAAGGATCTTGATCGCGTTGGGATAAACGTTGACGAATCTCAGTCGTACGGAAAATCGATTCGCCTGCTCCCGCTGCAAGAGGTCCCGCCGGAGAGATTCCCTGCAAGACATTTTGGAGCATTCAGCGGAGCAGATGAATTTCACGCTCGCCTGTGGTCGCAGATCGATAGGTTGAGCGATACCCCTCAATTATCGAGAATCTCGCCACAGTCGACCACGGAACACTTTCGCGAGTCAGCGTTTCCCTAGCCCGACTCGAACCAGCGCCTCCTTGGCGAAATCCTCACGATTTCATGCTCGCATAGAGATCCCTTCCGCCTGCTTGAGGCTTGCGCTTTCCGTCTCGACCTGGAGTTATTGCCTCTCTGAGATTCAGAGGTCCATCTACGATGGGCTTTCTCGTCTGGGACTATTTCAGCATTTCCAACAGTGCTGGATACAACAGAATTCTTCCCAAGTGCGATCATTGTTCTTCCCTTCCGCGCAGGGCTCTGTCGCATGTTATCGCCGCACAAGCTATGATTGGCTTCGGTGCTGGAGTTTTCTACGTGGTCAGCTGCAACGATGCATACAAATGGATGACGTGAGTTTCCCGGTGTCGAATCGAGCATCCCTTCTCCGAGACGAAAGGGGCGTCCGATTCGCGGCTCATAAACTCTCAAACCCTGTTGTCAATTCCAGGCAGAAGTTGGGTTTCCCCGATGATTTCACCAGCTACTCGCTGCTGGGTGGATGTTTGCAGGGCTCATACTTTCTTGGGTGAGATTCTCCCGGCGCGATTTTTTTTCTCTACAGCAAGCTCTCGCCTCAATGTGGTTGCTTGGGATGGCTTCTTAGATGAACAAAAAACAAAGCTTCCCAACCTCTCAGGTGCCTCGTCGGCTCCGCCGGAGGCGGTCTTGTAATCCACTACTTCGACTACAACTTTTGCACGACGTGCTTAGCGGAAATTACTTTCGTGGCGGTGAGATTTTGCTGAAGGACAGATGAGATATGGAAAATTCCTGAGATGTACCCAAGATCATTCCCCTCTTTGGGATTATTCCCAGGTCTCGCAGGTGTAGGAAATCGATGCTCACGACCTTTTCGTTGCAGATGATCTCCCTCTCATGCGTCATACTTAAGAACGCCGCGGTCAAAAGATCAGAGAACTCCTGTAAAACAGAGGTCACACTAGCTGCCGGTGAATGAGTTTTTCGCTCAGAACTAATCAATAAGAGAACGATACGACATGAGTCCCCTTGGAGCGACGCGATTCAATTAGGGGACTTTCTTGCTCAATTCATTCATCCCGAAGGAGAGGAACTGGGAGAATCTCGACCATCTGAGCGAATCCGTAGGATCCGTAACTGTGACAAGGCTGAGGTCAAAAATGAGAGCGATGTGGCGCATCTGTGATAGATATGGCGAGACGGGAATCATGAGATCACCGGAGACTCGGAACAATCATTTACGACGTAGTCCAATAAGATAGGAGGTCAATCATCACAATAAAAAGTTCTCGCGAGGCGAGATCAACCTGTTTCCCTCGAAGTCATTCAGAGTTTCCTCCCACGCGTTCTCTTTAGCAGATTCGATTCGGAATGTTCGATGACAGCCGTCAGAAACTCAACCGGATCCTGAACCTGGATGCGCGGACTTGCATTCTGATACGCGGGGGATCGCTCCCACCGTCCCCGAGCAGAGCGGCATTTTTAGAGGCCGTCCAGGGAGGAGAAAACTCAGTTCCAACTGCTGATTGAACTAGCAGACTCTCGACCGGGTACAAAGGCTTCATTGGTTCCCAACACTACAATTCATCCACCCCGACCCATTGTCGAGCACACTACCTTTTAAGAATAGAACCGGGACGAGAGTGGATCGGCTGGCGTTGTCGAGTCTGGAATACACACAGAACGCGGAACGCAGGGAGATGTAATTGCAACCCTCAGGGCCTGACAAGTCGGGAACCCCCGCTCTACCAATCGTGTGGGGTGTGCGAGATGGAGATTCCATGATTTTCTCGAACTGATGCATTCTGTGGGATCATCGCGATTGGCCCGGACATCGGTTCATTTTTCGAGCATCGGAATAAAGCTCTTCTCATGACGGAGGATCTTCGAAAGCCGGTGGCTCTCTGCCATTGCTTACTCGACATTGGTGGTTTGCCGCATCCGCCTGGTTCTTCTTCGCAGCTTTGAGTCACTTTCCATGAGCTCGACGGAACGGGACCGGCCTCGGTCGAAAGGAATAGTGCTTCTAAGGGGCTGACGTTCTGGGTAATGCGAGGCCGCAGGGAGTTGGGTCCGTTCCGCCTCACGCTGAAATCACCGATGAAACGTGTCGGTCGAGAAATCTCAACCTTCTGGGCATATTCGCTCAGTCTTGTCTGGGCCCGTGTGTCCGAGAAGAGACCACACTACCGATCGGCAGAAACGTACCGGAAACCATACTTTGAGGGAGACGTGCGGGAGCGATTTGCTCCATCGGATATTCTCGAGCCGAAAAATATTACGCGCCCGGCAGGGGTGTCCCGCGAAGTTCGGAATTGGTGCCTAGAAGGCATCGGGCCGGCCGAGAAGATTTCTTTTGCCCATTCGTCAGCCCATCCAGTGTTCCCCGGGCGCATTGAGCACTGTCGCAAAGAAGGACGTCAGTGTCGCTCGATCGGCCGTGATCCGCACTCCGCGGGCATCGGTCGCGGGAGCCGGCAAAATATGGACCGAAACCTTTCATGCTCATCTCGCGGCTTCAGATCATTATGTTTCAGAAGATCACGAACCTAGAATTCAGGAAAGAGTTATATGATCTTCATGGTCTTCAGAGAAGTCGGGGATTCAGAGGATGAATGATATATAGGTAGTTTTGTCAGAGGACGAGGCATGCGGGTTGCAAGTCGAAGCTGCTGCGTTCCCCCGCTAGTGAGGTCGGTCCACAAATCCTACCGCAAAAAACACGAGTCCAACACCGAATTTAGATTCGACTTTAGAGCCCACCCAGATTGTTGAGAAACATAAGTTCGAATTTTCAGGAGGAACGTGTTTACTGGAATAAAGTCTGAGATACATATTCTGATGCGAACGTCGCGTCGTGTCGAAAACTCTTCTCTCCTCGCTGGGGATAGACGCGCGGAACACCATTCCTGAAATTTTACAGGAAAATGGTGTTTGCTCAGACCTCGGGCGCGGAAAGTGCGTCAAGATATCAGTGTCTAATTGTAAGGCGAGATGTCACACATGATTGATGCTGAGGGAACACGAATCTTACGAAGTTTGAAATTAGACGACTCGGAGACTCCGGAATGAGCTCTCTGTGTTAACACTGTTCAGGCGACGCATATGTAAGGGCCTTATTATCAGGAGAGCACAGTATATGGCGGATTATTCCTTGGCGAGCTGATATGTATATTCATATCTAGATTAGGTCTCATCAACTAATATTCGGCCTCTCCCGCTAAATCGACGAAGGACGACGTCCCACGCCTCACCATACGGGCAGACATCCTGATCGATATCTCGATATTTGCAGAGGGAGAGATCCGGCAGAGAGCTATCGAATCACTGAAAGTTCCAGGCCGGCCCGCTACAGTCTTCCGGTGCTACGTAACCGCAGGCGATCGGACTAGTTCTTTCGGTCGGATATCTGCGATCGTTTCTCAATCAGCGGGCTTCAGGGCTGCACTTGGCTCAATCACCCCGGAACGAAATTCGTCCTTGAGCTGACGATTCGGGAAAGACATTGATGATTCTCTCTGGGAAGAGAAGTCGATAACTTCGTTCTCCGATCTCTTCGGACTCCGATAGTCCTCCTCATCCTTGGGCGGTAGGCTTCCCTGTACGTATCCTATATGATGCCGATAGCGGGAGGACTCGGATTTGGATCTAGGACAGGATTTGCCATCCAATCCAACGATATGGGTGCTCATCGTCGCGTGTTCTTAGCGTCCGCTAAGCAAGCATACGAATATGCTCTCACGTCTCTTTCGCACCGCGGAGCCGCCCTGCTCCAGAGCTCTCACTTTTTGCGGGGAGCCTTGATGACGTCAGCAGATATCCGCAGATATCCGCTGGCTCATCGAGCATTCCACTTCGATAATTGCTATCAGGGAGTTATCCGTCAGGAGGTCGCGATTTGACTCAGAGAGTAGGCCGTCAATTTCCCTTGGCGGTTGTATGGTCAGTCATCCTTCAATCGTCATTTTGAAGATGAGAACCAAGTCGGCTCCCGCCTCCCTCTCGTTTTTGTGAAATTAATTCTTTGGGATGCTTTGTAGGTGAAACATCGAATGCATGAATTTGCGCGGTTTGCTAGATTGATTGTTCATTGGATCTCTCTATTCAGTATACCGTCTACCTACCGAAATCAGCAAGATATCGTATTTCCCAGCGGGTGAGACAACAACCCGATCAAGCCTTCGACTCGACTTCTTTGGCCTCCGTCATGATTCATGATACACTGCTCACAAAGGCATCTATCATCCACTCGGTGAATCATGTTGCTCTTAATGAAGTCTTTTCGGGGGATCCTCAATCGGGAGGCCTGCATGCGCGTTCCACCGAAATTGGGGGAGTCCCACGGAGACGCGCCGGTGCTAAATCCTTTCTCGCTGACATGTCCGGATATCATTCCACGCAGATCACCGACAGATGGGTCTCCGGAAAGCTCTCACGAGGAAATCGTTATAAGAAACCGAGGCTTCGGCCCACACTCTGGAGTAAACATCTGTGAACGAAGACGCTCGAACCGAGGAGCAAGCTGGAACAGCGCTCGCTCCCAAATTAGGGCCCTCGATCGACCCCGCGGGATGTCGTTCCTCAAAAACCTTGAACGGCTTCAGTCCAAATCGAGTAAATATGACGCACGTTGTCATTGACTTGACATGATGTAGCGGATTCAGACACAGTACGCCGTTTTCGCCTCATTGCTTCCGGAAAGGAAGATAAAGAGTCACTGTAGCCCAGGATCTATTCTGGATCGGACGAACGAAGCGTGCGCGATTCGAAGAGAATCTCTCAGCGGGAAGATTGAGTAAACGATTCGTTCACAATGCCACAGAAACCGATATTCGGACTGAGCCATTCTGAGGCTCAGATATCTTGTCGTGATCCAAAGAACGCCCCTCCGGCTACAGAGAAGAAAGGAGATGTCGAGTCTGTGCGCCCGCGAAGCCTCCAAACGTTACCTCGTGGGACGAATATCTTGATCCGACTCGTTCCCGCATCACTGAGGTCGTCGACGGAGCCAATCGGAATCTTCAAGGGAGAAAACCTCCTGGAAACCGACGCAATGTACCTATTCCGGAGGGCCGATGTAATTGAAGCGGAGCAGGATGAATGGGTGCGCTGAGTCTTCCGAATCATGACCGACGTTTTGTTGAATGATCGGATCCGCTCCCCGCCGAGAACCCCTCAGGAACTTCTATTGCGTTCCTTTCAGATCCATCCACTCTGGATAGCTGCATTTCAAGTGCATCGAGACACGTCCGCGATGACCTTGCTCCCACGCGATGAGAAATGCAAGGCGTCAGGCACGACGTCTGGTATTGGAATCGATTCATACCCGGAACCCGTCCTCGTGCTACCCAGTCTGTGAAACCACCAATGAAAGTAAACTTTCGTTAATCGACCTCGCCGACACCGTCCCATATCCAATTCGGACGGCGCGGCGACTCTAATACCGAGACTCAATTTGCTATTTGACGATGATTCTGCAAAGAGATTCGCAAACGGCAGCGTCATATGAGGGACGAGATACCTCGGCGTGACCGGGGAAGCCCAATAGAGGGCTTCTCACGACGATAGCTCTCGCGTTTTATGATGTACTTTACCAACATCCGGATTCGCTTGCACGCAGGCTAGCAGATTGACTGGCACCGGTTCCTCTGTAGGGAAGACCAGTCTCGCATCGGATGCCGCTTTCAAGAAGAGAGATATTGAGCTAGAGATGGCGCTGAGCAGCGAGCCACTCGAGACTGTTCTCCGAGGATGTTTCCCTGGCCGAGAGACGCTCCCTTCCTCCCCATCATTTTGGCGCGAAGAGTCTACGAGTTGTTCTTGACTCCCGAAACAAGGGCGGGAGTTATGAGCCGGCAGGGATCATCGTCGCGTCGTACAACCTCGCCGCTCACGAATTTCGCACCGATAGACGGAGAGGGGGTGATTTGTGAGCTGCAGCGAGACGCTCCTTGCGTAATCCCCCCCCATCCCGAATCGTCAGCTGGTCAGAGGGCTTCTCGATGACATTACCGTCGATTAGACGTCTCTCTGCGTGGATGCAGGCACCCGTCCTGGTATGGTCGTCCGAAATGCGGACTGGGAGACGAGCCTCTGCCTCGGAAGTACAAGCGTTCGCTCTCGGATTACACGAATAAATTCGAGACCTCTCGACT